TCTTGATGCAAATTCCTAACCTGCAATTTTGCCTTCACCTTTTGAATGGGAAAACAATGTTACAACATTCACAGCTCGCTTTGAAGTGTCGCTTTGATTTATGGTCGATATACGACGGTCGACGGAGCACGAGGTCCAGAATCTCAGCGAGCTGGGACTGTCGTATAGGTAATAACTACCTACTGCCAGCCGGTTTCGTGACGATTTTTATACTATACAAAATTAATAAGCAGGACTGTTTAATTTTATATGGCACTACGTGGAACAGAAGCTCGAGCTGGTCGCTACAATTTTATTACGTATCGATGAAGTCGCACTTATTTTATGCTATGGCTTTAAGAAATCTGTCACAAAAAAATCAATATATTTTATTATATTCAAGCTTTTATCTTTAGTACATTTTCGTGGATGATAAATTGGTTTGATGCGGTTATTTTATTTATATTCTTCAATATTCTTAAAAAACTCTTAAAAAAATATTTCTAACGAAAATATTGTGTGTCGAATCATTATATTAAATTATTTAACAACAAAGAATTTAAATATATGTATCTCTAAACTGAAAATAATAATGTTTTGGACAACTAAAAGCTATTCTGTGTATTCTTGTTAACAAATGTATATTATAATAAATAATATTTAACAATGTCTTGTAACATATTTATAGTTAAAACAGCGAAAATCACATCGTATACAATAACTACTAAATAATTTAGTAATAAATCAGAATGATTGAAAAGTTTAAAGGATCGTTTAACAAAGATAAAGTTTGAGAATATATTGGCTAATCTATATGCAGGTTTACCAGAAACTTCACATTCTAAGTTTTGTGTAATGACGTCTGGCATCTGGCGAGAGAACCAACATTGTTGCCAGGTGAGCGGTGTAATGGGGCAAGTTCTTCATAGCAATTGGAGAAGTGCCTTTTACGTCAGCCGTCGCCGGGGAGTCTAGCTCGAAACTTGGACTAACCGCAAGTGGAGGCACGTGACCTCCTACAAGCAACTTTAAACTGTACACTACGCTTCCAGAGCTCACTTCCCAGTGGTGTGGAACGATGCCTGGGACACGTGCGCGCGGCCGTCAATAAGAGATGACGCGATCAACAATTTGAAGATGTCACGGTAATTTAATATTTTAACGTTATTTCAAGACGAGCAGGCGTTTACAGCAATTTGTCTGAAAGCATTGTGTTCGGACAGCGACGTTGACGCAAGACATCGCGAGCCAATCTCATTTGTTTCAAACGCTGAAAACACTGCCAAAATCAAATATAATTTGTAATTTACTGTTCATTTATCATTTTCCTCTTACACTTTTGCAGAAGACATATATATGTATTTACAGACGTCAGACAGCCAAAAAATAGCGTTCATAAATAGTTTATCTTCGTAGATATTTTTGATTCTTTTCAATTTAACTTAAACGTTGTTGAAGAGAAGATGAAAATTTAACTTCTAATCGTTTCCTTTAAGTTGTTGAAAAGATAAAAAGCTTTTATATTCAAAGGCTTTCAAAGAAAGGGTTACGAAGGTTCTTTCAATTTGGAGGGCTCGAAGTTTCATTGGATAAAAGCTATCAGGCGGCAATTGTAACTGATAGTTATCCAACATTATTGCCAAGTTCCAAGCCGATTCGCAACACAAATTAACGTTGTGAACAAACTCCCCAACTTATAACTCTGCCAAGTTTACCCTTCACGAAACTCTTTGACGATTGCTCCTTAAAATGGACCTTTTATTTTGAAGTATAGGATTCTAAATCCTTTGACTCTAATTTAATGGATTCTATCTCAACATGTCCGCTATATTAGGTACTCTATAACCATATATCATTAGGGTTATTTTTCCTTACTTCAATTAGTGACGGGTAGATGTTTAGTGAAGTCTACTGAATAGTCCTTATCAAATGATTACTCAACAAGAATCAGACGAGTTCTGTCTGTTTGAGTATGAAGTGGTTTTAAGATAACGTAAGAGTATTTATTTAGAGATAACTTTTCTGCTATTAATAGTACCTGTTGTTGTTCAAAGTGCCATGAACAAGTAAAACAAAATATAAAAATACTGAGGTAATGACTAAGATAGAAACAAATTTTACCAATAATCTATACATATAATAAAATTGTAACTAAGCAGAATCTGTACAAAAATTATTTTTTGGAAAATCTTATTAAAATAAACATTATTATCGATACAGAGGCCGCATCTATAGTTTTTACAATTTTTGTCTGTCTGTCTGTTACCGCATCACAGAAAAACCACTATAGGGATTTTGATGAAATTTGGTATGGTGATAGCTGATTATCCGGGTCAACATATAGAATACTTTTTACCCTAGGAAAATATCTCATTTCTGAGAAAAAATACAAAAACTGCAATGTAAGAATATACTAATATGTAAAACCTAAGAATTTGGTTTTTGGTCATCTGAACGCGGGCGGAGCCGCGGGCAATGCTAGTCATTTATAAATAACTAAACTTTTAAGACGACCGGTTAAAAGCTGCCAGCTTGGTCCACACGCTCGGCAAGGTCTTAAAAGTATTATAATATTTATTAAGACGTTTTTATAATCTACATTTAATAAAGGAGCTATTATTCTTGAATGTGTTTCCAAAGAAGATGTAGCCGTGTTCATTGAAATATACTAACCTTTTTATTATACCTTCCATATTCATGATGCTGCGGTAGGTTTGAGTAAATCATATTTGTATTGCACTAGAGGCTACTAACGCTCGTTTCGCTCGGGTGCGTCGGTAAGTGCCTAGCCTATGTATTACTAAGTAATGTCTATGCCGTCCAGCCGTATCCAGCCGTGTGAAGGAGTAACAAACATACAAACTCTCACAAACAAACTTTCATATCTATAACAGAAGTCCAACCAATGACCCGCTTTAGACTCTACCAGCAGCAATATGAACAATGAACATATTATACGCGCACACATATTGTACGTATCTAGATTATACAAAGTTGTAGGTATTCAGAGTAATTACATAATCTCAATTTATCCGAAGCGACTCGTGCTTCTCGTAAATTCAATACATTGAAGGTACGAGTATTGTACTTTGTCAGAAACCTACGCGGTAGTGCTGTGTGTAGTTGCATCGTAATTGGTTAAGGAATGCGTACAAATTACTAACAAACACGCCTAAACATTATTTTATATGTATATTTATGTTTATATAAAATAATTTTATAATAAAGGTACGTAAATTAATTCTCTTAATATTTCTCATATACACATCGTAGTAGCAGTGTAAAGTGGATCGCTAGTGGGTGTTCCTTGTATATCTCATCTCGTCATATGAAGATGTTATGTACACTAATTTAATATGACATTTAATCTTCATTAAGCGCTGATCACGCCCGAACCCGCGCCCGCCGCCGCGTGCTACATAAGTTTGCGCTAACAGTACGGATGTCGGATACCCGATGCATTATACGCACAACTTTGTTATAATTTGTACGAACACTACTGTATTTTAATAACGTTTTAATGCAGATTCTAAGTTATAAAGCATAAGTCTTACTTGTGACTTTTGTCACTATTTTGTAATTTGTATCTCAAAATTCATGGATATTGAGATCCTTTAAAAGGATATTTGTTGTTTAGGCTAACTTTACGTGTACGGTATGGTTTTTAAATAAGTTACTTCAATAATTAAATAACTAAATAAAGAAAATGTGCCATTTATTTAACTAAATAAATTGCTTGTGTCATCGCAGACTATCCTCAGGGTATTCTGACAATTCCAACATTAAATAGGACTTTAATTTCGTGCGAAAACATTACAAACATAATTAATTTTAGGGTTCGTAATCTCGACTGTTAATTAAGGAAATCTGGGTTAGACGTAGGACCTTCCTCCGTGGGTGGCTTCGGGGTGTATATTTAATATTTCGACAATCATCTAGCTGCTAGCATACTGGTACGTGACATAGTTCGCGTGCGGGTAATGTTTACTTACAATATCAACATAAGGTTATAACTTAGGTTTAATACGTATAAAGTTTTATGGAACAAAATCCATCTTTATACCAATAAAATCTTAACAATACTTTTATCAAATGAAGAATCTTTATAATACGCTTTGATTCCCCGCTTTGCGCCGTTTAGGCAACCTAGTTTGACCATATGAAAATGTCACCCACAACGGACCGGGATTAACGTCTTTAGACCAGCCTTCGGTCATTATACTCTTCTGGTATAGTGTAGATATTTCAATTTAGATCGTCTCACTAAAACAACATCATCACGCGAATTTTAGCTTTATAAGTTAGGGCAGTTTCTTTCATTTTTTTCACGTGCGGCTCACCCTCGCTTCGTTCGGGTTCAGCTCTAGACAAACAAAAATAAATCTATCCCATGGGAATCGTATATTATTGTAGTTTCATTAAAATCCAATCAGTTGTTTTTGTGTACTAACCTGTATAAGTTACGATGGTTTTCCGGGGTGAAAAGTATCTAAAACGTTGACTGGGGATATAAGGTGCTAAAATGCAAAATTTTATTTTAATCGGCCCAATAGTTTCGGAGATTAGCCCGTACAAACAGACAGAGAGAAAAAAACTAGATTTGTTCTATTTCTCTTCTTACATCCCCCTGACTCGGTTTTTAGCATATTTTTTCTATGTACAGACATTCGACCTCTACAGTTTTATTATATGTATAGATCAGACTACCTACTTATATGATAAAAGTAAGAATGCAATAAAATGTTTTTTTTTTTCATTTAAACGTAATGTTGAGACACAAAATAAAAAAAATAAGTGTTATATATTTTGTAAGTAATATCACATTTATATTTCACTAATTTGTATGATTATGTTCTCACATTGCGCCTTGCAAGATGGATGTAGAAAACAGCGACTCTTAACTTCCTCATCAGATCAGCATATTGCCTAGACAGTGCGTGTCCGTGTCAGCGGTCATCAGACACTCTTTAGTCACTGAAAATGTTTTTTCTTAACGTTCTCCAATTGTCATAGGATTGTTAAGGCTCGTGCTGTTTTAAATGTGATAAAGTAAAGCTCGAAGACGGCATATCATTTCCTTCGACGGATAATTGATCAACGGTCCTGCCTTTCTTCCTAATATTCCACAAAAGCTGGATAACTCCCATTTGGAACTCTAGAACTTCGTCTTCTCCAAGTTTGTTTAAAAATGGTAAAAGTCCTTTCACAAATGAAATATGAGGACTGGTTTCTTCAATAGATTTTATGTCCATGAACTGAACCGCGTTAATTTCATTTTCTTCTTGGGTGGACTCTTCATTTTTTTTCTTTTCATTTTCTTCTTTTGTATTGTCACCATTTGTAGAGCTATCACTGTTAGTGTCGCTGTCATCCTCAGGCTCAGTATTGTTCAAGCTTAGCTTTATCCTATTGGTAAAATTCTTTTCCAAAAATTTCAGCCTTGCGTTGTGTTTGTAGGATTTCCTTTTTATATCAGCGAGACTTTTTTTCCAAGCGTCTCTTATATTTATCCATTTCTTCATGATAAATTTGACTGTAACCAAAAAAATTGTTTTGAAAGATACAATACGGTGACAATTCAGATATTTATTTAATAGCAAAACTAACAGAACCCAATAATTCCTAGTAAATCAATAACGAAAGGACATGAATAATAATCTCAATGGTCAGGTCAACTTTCAAAAATTTATTTTTCATCTGAGAAATATATCTTCTAAAATAATAATCTTAATTTTAAATAAAAATATCTTTTCGGGTTATTTCGTGAATTTATTTTGATTTTTGGTTCTCGACGTTTCGAATGCTTTATAACAATCATGGTCACGGGAGAGACTAAGGTTATAGACGTCTCAAACACAGTGTATGTACGTAGAAGTTATACTTCTTTGGCATAACAAAACAAAAATAACTCCAAAAATTTTATCCTGCGTGCCAATACTATACATAAAGGTTTAATTATAAAGTATAATTTAATTGATATAACGTTTATTTATGCATCATTAAATTATTTTTACAGAATTAAAGAAAACAAAAAAAAATCCATATATACAAATAATACATATATTTTTTGCATTTTTTAAATGCAATTTAATTAATTCACTTTTATCAGTTAGTCTGGTTATGATTCAATGAGCATATATAAGATATATCTCTAAACTATACTAATACATATTTAAATAATTAATTCAAAATGTGGACTTCTCCTTTAGAGAAATGATACAAAAATGATTTTTAACAGAAAATTTATTTTTTAAAATATTTAAAATTAACTTTTATATCATTTAAATTGTATAATTTGTTTTAATTTTTAGAGCATTTATAGAAAAACTTGTTTCTTTTTACTATTAACTTTTAAAATATTTTATTCGTATTCTTCTCAGTAAACCCTTTTATTTAATATCCATATCATGGGGGTGTATAAAAAATTATAGTCTGTAACCTTTGTGAGTCCGCCATATTAAATTTACAATGACGTCACTGTAAATTGTGTTTCGCTCATCAAGCCCTTTCATTGGATGCCCATATTATAAAGGTTAGTATGGACATGATAAATCGCCATTTTGTAACGTCCGCCATATTGGATTGAAAATAGCAGCGTTTAGGTAATCCTGCTTTGACAGGAGAACCAAACGTGTGTGCCACAGCTCAATTGGACACTAGGAAGTTGATTTTTAACTTGCAAGATTTGGTTACAAACAGTCACCGGGGCATTTTTATTTTTATCGATATAGAACACGTTTTGTGTACATACATATAGAAATAACGAGATAAATACTTCACACTATAGTCGAAATCGTTAAGTAAAAAGTTTACTTTCATAATTTTTTCCCTAACGCGCCAAAAGAAGTGTAACTTCAAATATATATTATATATATATATATATATATATATATATATATATATATATATATATATATATATATATTTATATAAGCATTTTTTTTAAATAACATATCTATAAAGACACGTATCAAATAAAAACAATAAACTACATGCTACGAGTATATACATACCATAAGCGTTTTGTTGTGTCCTTGTGATCGTGTTAAATTCTGGATTCATAATTCTACAAATATCTCTCCAGGCGGCAGCTCTTATGCCGAAATCTTTGTAGTTCTCCAAGCTCTTATCCCATAGCGCGGGCCTGCTCTCCACCAAACAGATCAGGAATTCCGGATTAATCTTATCACACATGTCTAACAATAAAATTATGTATGTGCCGTATGGTTACAACGAGCAGTGCAATATATCTGTCCAGATGTATCAAATAATTCCGTTGCGTGCTAGTGAAACCGCATAAGGTTACGGTGCTAATATAAAACGTTTTACATGTCACGTTTAAGATCGATGAGGAGTATAACTTTTTGCAAAAGGAATTCGTGATGGAATTAGAAGTACTCGTACAATGAAATAGCGAATACAGAGTGACCGATGAAAAGTAATTATGAGCAGACACAGTGCGCAACCGCAACGGCTCGGGGCGACCGGTACGGGCCGTGTGTGCCGCCGGACTGGCGCAGCCGCACTCCGTACCGGCGCGGCGTACAAAGGTGCGTGATTAGGTTTCCGTTCAACGTCACGGTTATGGACTTATTATTACAGAAAAATGTACTCGCTTATTTATTATCGTAGTTTAACAGCAGAATATTATACTTTTGTTCTATATACATATTAAACATTTTACTTTCCATTTTGAAAGCCTAATTTGTTCTAGTTTAAATATACTTTTCAGTTTTAAAGTAATAAAATCTTTTAACGTCCTACAAAAGTTTCAAGAAAGAAGAATCAAATACATATTACATTTTAACCTAAAGTTTTAAAAGCGTATGAATCTATACTAATATTATAAAGAGGTAAAGTTTGTGATATTGTGAGTTTGTGACGTTGTATCGGATAATCTCTGGATCTACTGAACCGATTTTCAAAATTCTTTTACCAAAAGAAAGCCACGTTCTTTCTGAGTGTCATAGGCTATATATTAACCCGAAGAATGAAAAGACTTTCATGGTAGTCGGATTTGCAAAGTAAGTTAGAGAAAAAACGGTCGAACGAAAACGTTTCTTACGAACGCTGCCTTAACGATGAGAGACATATGATTATGTTCTAGAGAAAAGTTGTAGAGCTTAATATTGCCTACAAATATGTCAGCGACAGCATATGTCTAACTTTTATATTTATGTCACAAAAAGTAATTTTTTATATTAAAAAAATAATTTTAATCGGTAGGTCATGTTTATTGGTCATATTATCAACAATTATGAATTCTTATCAAAATAAGTAAATTTATCGTCTAAAATATTTAAAACAAAAGACTTTTCCCTTTTACTGCATGTAATTGGGACAAATGGGTAAAGAGATAATACAACATATTCGTAGGTATGGACGAACCCGAGCGAGCTGTTTGTCTGTTTTTCTGTTTGTACGGGCTAATCTCCGAATCTATTGGACTGATTTAAATGAAACTTTGCATGGTGGTACCTTATATACCCGGGCAACATCATAAATACTTTTCATCCCGGAAAATTAAAGAGTTCCCGTGGGATAGTTAAAAACTATAACAACTTATACAGCTTAGTACACAAAAAGTACTGATTGGATTTTAATGAAACTTTACAATAATATAGTTCATACATGACAAAAACAAATCAGCTACTTTTCATCCCGGAAAATTAAAGAGTTGCCGTGGGATAGTCAAAAAACGATAGGACCTTATACAACTTAGTACACAAAAACTACTGATTGGATTGATGAAACTTTACAATAATATAGTTCATACATCAGAATAACAAATACGTTACTTTTTATCCCGGAAAAATGTATAGTTCCCGTGGGATAGATGTTTATGTATAACGTATAATGTACACAACATAGACCCCAAAACAATAGTTATAAAAAAATGTCTGTTTGTCTGTTTGCCTGTATATCTGTTTGTCTGTTTTTGCGTGAGCGTTTCACGCGAAAAGTAATATACCGATTTCAACGAAATTTGGTGAAGTGATAACTTATTACTCGAGTCAAAATTTAGGATACATACATACTTTTACCACAGGCAAATTATTCATTCCCACGGGAAAATACAATAACTGGTTCTATCGAATCGTCCTTAGAAATTTATATGGCTAACGTTGGCTCAACCTTAAAAGATAGATCAAAACATTGTGCAAGAAAATTGTAAGTCTTAAAAAGGTCTATAGAAAAGTTTTACATAGTATATATGTCTATCTTCTAAGGTACACTCGCTATAACTATTTTCATTATTATATATTACTATTTTATTATACGTCATTTATTCTATCTATACATATAATAAAACTGTAGAGGTTAGAAAAAAAATGCTAAAAATCGAGTCAGTTCTCTCTATTTTTATATAAAAATACATTTTGTTTCAAGAATTATAGTATATTAGTGTAACATAAACATTACATAACTCGGTCAACCAAATACGAGTTCTTAAAGTAATAACAGTCCAGTCAATATGTTTTATCGCCGTACTCAGCGAAGAAACAAACTATGGGTCAATAAGGAAAAGCGTGTTTGCGGAACGGATAAAGGGCTGCAAACGACCCTTTGTAAGTAATCCGGGCTCAGGGGCTAAGCCGCAGCGCTGCGGCAGGTGATACCGGCCTTGCGAGCCTTGCTTGGGTTAACTGTTCTGAAATTAGAAAAGAGAAACTCTTTTTTAATTTGGATTTACGATTTCACTATTTTGATGTCGAATTACTATTATAAATGTGAAAGTTAATATATTTGTTAATCCTTCATTCTTGAATTGCTGGACAGATTTCGATGAAATTTAGTATAATAAAACTACCATTTTGGATTTTGGCACTCCTGTCTGCTAAATTCGACACGCCACGAACAAAAAATCTAAATAAAACCAAGACGAAATCCAATAAAAATATTTAACATGATACATACAATATATTAGTTTGAATGTAAGAAAGTATTATTGTCAGGTCGCCAGTTCGATCGAGATGATTGAAACAAAGGACATAATATAACAATAGAATTACGTACAGTTATTGTGTCTCGATATTGAACTTATAGCTTAATCCTCGGCTTTACGGGTTTCCTTATGTGCGTTGCGTGTGTATCCACACGCAGTCATTCTCGTATTAATAATTATATTTACAACAGTTTTCTGTAAGTATTCTAAATATTTATTTTACCTATATAATATGTATTTAATCTGTACTGAGCTCAGTTTGTAGCGACCCAACTTGCTGTACCAACAACGGTCGCGGGTTTGAGTCCCGCTGTATATAGATGTATATAGATAGTTAGGATAGGACTAATATAAATATTCTTTGGAGAGTCATTACGCATAAGCTGATATTTCGCATCAAGAGCTCATTAAATCACAAGAAAACGTTCGCTTTGATAATAATTTCGAAGCAAAAAGCTACTAAGATGGCGAAAGTGCGGGTAAGACTCATTCAAACGCAATAATAACCTGTCGGCTGTCACTTTCCTTTTTCATTTCGTTATATTTTAGGGTTCCCTAGCTAAAGCAGAACCCTTATAATTTCGTCATATCCGTCTGTAAGAGCTTTTCGACTTGGAAACTTTTGGTGTAGTGAAATTATGAAAATTAAAAAAATACTGGAGTCACTTCAAACATGTAGATCCATAATATATATTGTTTGAATATCATTAGGTAGATGAATGTTTTTTTTTATATATAAATGGACTCTATAAAATTTTTGTCTTTAATGGTTACACGAAGCTACCACACAGCTTTTTTCCACAAAATTTTAAGCCAAACCTTCGAAGCGAAGTTTTAAATGTTATGTTACCTAGTACCTAGGTAGATACAATAGATGCTGTGTTTTACTGCTGATCATACATGTCTTGTGCAAAATTAGTTCCAGATTCGAACCCAAAGAAAAACACACAGTCAACAAAAAAATTACACTTTGGTAAATACAGCTGTGATAATAGGCAATGTCATAAAATAATAATATAACGCTTAGTAAAAGGACCGCCTATAACAATGTAGTCAAAGGCTGCTATTTTATATACCTATTCAATAACATACTGATTCTGATAAAAACTACAAATTGTAATATATACTTCTCTCAATCAAATAATATGCAGTAATTTATTATACTGTAAGGTAAATTCGTTATAGATTATTATTAATTTACACTAAAATTTCTACGTTTTGATTTCTTTACGCCCTTGAACCCATATGTAGAGCCCTATCACCGTGCACTAAGCACTATATTCCATCACCCGCCCTACCGCCTAGCTCGCATAAATTTAAAAGTATCTGAAGCGATGAAATATCGCCCGCCTTGAACTTGAAATGATTTACCGCATTTACTTTGGCAAATGTTCCAAATATTCCTCTGCCATTGGCCATTTGTAATGTATATATGATATATACAAAATAAAAGCATACCTATAGTTTCATTAAATTTTAACTTGAGTTTTTATTTTACAAAACAAAACATTTTCGACCGAGATATGTTTAGAAAAATAAATTGTAAAAGTCTATATACATAATTAAAAAATACATTTAAATAAATATATACATTTTGTTGTACCTTATTTATTCAATGCCTTTATTACTGACAGTTAATTTTTAAATAATTCGCCATCAAATAAATAAATGTGAAGAAAAAATGAAATTCGATAAAAAAGTTAAAAGAACCACTTTATCATTTTCGTACGAAAAAGTTTCTACGAAAATATTATATTGAGAGTCAGCAGAAATTGTAAACAGAGTTTTTATTCGTAGAAAAACACTTTGATGTAAAAAGTTCGAACTTCCTGATATTTTTATGACGAAAATATGTCTCGCAAGAGTCAGGACAAGTCGGGCCTCAGTCTCACGCGACATCACGCCGCAGACACGTCCTTTATACGATTTGCAAAACGGACGAAAAATAAGCGATCTTGATAAAAATATGGCGATGCTCCATCAACGCTGACGCAATGACTGTCGACCGTCGACTGATGCGGTGACACCGAGTCTAACCGAAAGAGACATTCGACTTATTTTTTTTTGCGAATTTCCATTTTTCTGGGAACAAATTATTTATATCCATCCTAGAAAACATAAATCTTATTTTTAGGATGAGAATCGTTGCTAGAGCTTCTAGTAAATTCATGACTTTCAGTCGAAAAATTATTATCAGTTGTAATGTATGGGATTTACTTTTTTCTCTCGTACACACAGAATGCTCTTAAAATATTTGTTTTTATCATCATTAACGTATGTATTTATGTGATATGTATGTATGTATGTACGTATATATGTATGGATGAAGAGCAAAGAATAAGGAAAACGAATATATAACATTTGACAACAGACGTAACACGTTAACAGCTTTTGATAGCCGATTTCCTAGAAGCACTGTTGCCGTGAGTGCGGAGTCCTGGCCGCGCGCCAGTGCCGCCACTCGCCGCCACTCGCCGCGGCGGACGTATCACGTAAGTGCCTGGTTAATAAAGGAAAATCATTTTAAAAAGCGATAATAATTCAATAACGATTCTATCGCTATCGTACAAGTTATTATACGTGTAACTTATTATTCACTCATTTAAATCGGTCCAATAGATTCGGAGATTAGCCCGTACAAACTGACAGAGAACCAAAAAATTTGAAAAAAATCTGGATTTGTTCTATTTGTCTTCTTATATCCTCCCGACTCGGTTTTTAGCATTTTTTTGCTATGTACAGACATTCGCCCTCTACTATTTTATTATAGTATAGATATGTATTTATATGATATGCTAATTTAGATTTCATAACGTAACGCTCATTATTGTAATGTAGGCGAAGGCAGTAGTATGTATGTACTGAGTAGGTAATAAGATGGATCAGTAATAATTGTAGCACAAATAAACACTTCAAGACGTCGTCACCTATGTTGATTACACGCCATATATCTGTTATTATTTATTTATTATAAAGGCTTACAAACTAAATTTACATATAAACATTTATTTAACATTATAATTTTACCTATTTGTATATAAATTTAATTTAAAAATATGCACAGCTTTTTATAAAAGTATTCCATTAAAATTTTATGTGGTTACGAGTATATAAGGAGCCATTTCAGTTGTACAACAAACAAAAGAAGAAAAAAAAAACAAATCTAAATATTTAAATACAATTTCTTTTTAAATAAATTTAAACTATCAGAAAAAATGTCTATATCACATTGCTGAAATATAAAATTACATAATTTAAATCTTATACTAAGTTATGATGAATAGATTTAAACATAAATTATTTTTTATCATTAACATTATTATTTTTAATTTCAATTTTATGACTTTTTAAAATAAAATGATTGATATGAGAGGAAGTGAGCTGGACTCCGGAGTCCACCAAGCTGACCAAAAATCCACTTAATATACGTATAAAGTATAAACTTAACTAAATTCTCTCAATATTCCTCACAATTTTTTATTTCTCTCTATTAGGAAAAAGGAATCATGTTCAAGATTCATACATGAAAATCTGCGAGCACGACCTGGGTTCGAATCCACTTTACTAAGCGACCACTTTACCACTGGACCAATTCTAAATTCTGTTTTATCTATAGTGGTTTATTTTTATTTTACACTGTTTTATAAAATAAGAAACCCTTCACCGGCGGGAGTAGATTATTTACAGTGAATAAAACTCCCAAGCGACTCCCTCTGGCCGAGACGCAGCTGCTCCCGCTGTATCTCTGGTAGTTTTATTTGCGAAACTTTCTTTATCTTTTATTTATTATTTATATTGTCAAAATGAGGTTGAGCGATATTCTAAGAAATAAGTCTATTTTATGATGTGTGTATATGCTTCTAATATTTTCAATATTTTATTATATTCAATAAAAATAAATTAAACTTTACAATATTAATATGAGCGTGACGTGAAAGCTTACTAGTGATTCTGAGTAAGTGTAAATTATTGAAGCGATTAGTTTTCAAAGGTTAAATTACTTACGTATGTCACTCGCTGGTCGCTGATGTCATTCTCGTAGAACTTTTCCATGAAGTAAGCTTTACAAGCGCTGCATAAGTCACTGAAAATTGTTTCCGGGTATTCTATTTAAAGGCATTACTAAATGTATATTGTTATTCTAGTTTTATATATGTTTGCAGATCGAGAGCTATTCCAATACAATATTATAAAGGTCATCCGTTCATATATGTATAGTTCAATATGTATATTAGTAAGCGGTTTTAGTTTAATAAATGTGAATCTGTTTATTAGTATGTCCTTTTGCACAGTAACAAAGCATTTTTATATAGCTATAGCTTATGGGAGAAAATCGTGATATAAGTTAGTCCTTCTTAAAACTAAGCCAAAGGTAGTCACAAAGTAAAACACTAGGGCTATATTGCACGCATTATCAATATTAATATTATAAATACGCAACGTTTGTTTGTTTGTTAGTTTCAACACAGTCTCAGGAACTACTGATCTTATTTGAAAAATTCTTTTTGCATTAAATATGCCGTTTATTGAGGCTTTAGGCTATATATCATCATACTACTACCCAAGGGAGCGGAGCAGTAATCATAAATATCAACAAATCGGGTAGATTTCCATACATTATTACTAATAGCATAAAGCCAAGGAATTTTTTTGCAGTCTGAAGCCGCGAGGTCTGCTAGTAATATATAAATAGCGATAAATCTCTCTCACTCTCTCTCTGTCTCTATCTCATGAAATTAAAACAGAAAGTGTATTATATGATTCACCTTACTTTAAAATTAAAGGTACACAATGTTCTACATACATTCATATAATATCACGTAAGGATATGAAATAACATAATATTACATTCGCAATGTTTATTCCTCATTTACGAGCATCGTGGAATTGAATTGGCATCGCACCAATGTAGAGCGCTTAAATTAAATTCTAACAAGAGTAATGGATGCAAGCCTATAGAGTGAGAATGTGCCTGGACCTTGTGCTTCCCAGTAAATGTTGCTTGTACCACAATAAATACTTATGGATGGACCAATTTTTCCCGCGGCTCTGCTCGCTAGTATGTATAGCGGGGATGGAAGGTAAAAAAAATCTGTTGAAATCTGTTAAGGAGTTTTAGTGGAAAAGGTAACAGATAGACAGATAGGGTCACTTTCATATTTTTGTTTTATATAAATAAAATTACTTCGGTACATATAAAAACAAAATTGATACTTAATTATCACTACTTTATTCACATATCGCGTGTTCAGAAATTTTAAACATTAATAATAAGTGTCTATAAAAGTATACTAGCATCGTGCCAGCGTTTAACTCAGGTCTTTGTTATATCCTGCGCGTACCATTTACTTTTAATCAATATAGTTTCGTAACAAGCTCTTCTAAGTGGCAAATTTTACTTTAAATAAATTCAAAGATATGGTTTAAACTGCTCTAAATGCTTCACATAATTATGTTTATTCTACATTGAAGCGAAGTCACAAGCAGTAACTAGCATTACATTTATCACATACAAAGTATTTAGTTCTGCTTTTAGACGATGCAGGAAGCAGCCGAAGCAGGCCCGATCGCACGAACAATGTTACAATTTTACATTGTCATCTCGATTCTATTTAGATTTCATGTTGGCATTAATTTATATTGTCACTCGTTCGTAACTCACAGAGAAACAAAGTAGATGTTGCTCGGAGTATGCAACGCAGAGGATTCTGGTATAAATCCTATTATATGTCAAATAAAATTATATCTATACACGTTAGAAGCTATGACGTCACAATTATTGAACAAAATTATATTTATGGAATACAAGCGTTACTCTCGCTACGCTCAGGAGTGTTCTTAGATGCCTAGCAGTAGCCTATGTATCAATCCAGGTCAAAGTATATCTGTGTACTATCGAAATTCTTCCAGCCCTTTTAGCGTCAAGAACGACTACAACAAGATGCATTTATAATAATTATAGTCTGATTAGTGATATATTAGAAAAAAATGAAAATGTTTATTATTATTCTGACTCGATAACAGCTCGATGGAGTTCGATGAGACTTTTTTATTGTCTAAATTAAAAATGAACAAAGTGCTACTGTAATCACCCGATCGAAAATTTTTATTGGTTATTAATTTATCAAAAGATACGTGTTAACTCCCTTTCTCCACGTTCCCTGAAAAGTCTACATAAATATAATTCGTAATCGAAATCGATTCGAAAACTACTGTGCCTCGGCATGGCACAGTCAACTCCGTTCATATTTGTAGGAATGGTATGCTGTGTTTGCAGACCGTAACTGCTGACATGACTTCTTTTTTGCTATTTTAGACACTTATTTGTAAATCCTTATTAAAAATTATAAATACATACGATTATTTAGTAAGTCGAAGTCACTAAAAGAACACAAACATTGTATGTATCCATTCCTAACTTCCTACAATCTCTCATACATTTTATTTTTAACATCAGTAAATTCTAACTAACGACTATCCACGTGTTAATAAAATACTCGTACTATTAATTTACAGAAAATGGTGTTATATAGAAAATGAAAACGTTTAATTTACTTTTGATTAGGAAATATATGTTTTGGAATAGAATAAAATCTATCTTAATTACTAGCATACCGCGAGCGGCCTTAACGAGAAGGCAATCAATTCAGCATTAGGTGCGCCTCCTCCGCCGCAGATAGTCCGGCTCCGGGGGGAGTCCATCCATTTCAGAACAAACTAATACCTTTGCGAGTATTTTCTCTTGTATTGTTCACTTCTCTTTCGTTATTTTTAGCTCTAAAAATAACGAGCTTTAGGATATGTCAAAATTTTTATCTGTTTGAGCTAAAATATTTTTTTCAATATACTTAATGTTTCTAATATAATAGAGCTTAGATGAATGTATAACATTTTTTTTTGTTTGTCTATTTGACTATTACTCTGGAATCTCTGAAAATATTTCAATAAGTCCACAAACATAACCTATTCTCTATTTATTGTACTATATTTTCTAACGTAAGTGCCTATTGATTGTAAGTTAAGTTCAATTTATTGCATAGTAATTATCAAGTTAAAAACCAGCACTCTAATTGAATGAGCGTGCTGATACAATCTATTCCGATGAATGGATCTCGCGAGGGTTCCGGCGATTGCTCGCAAGCGAGCGATCCAATTACATTCCTGCTGTTGGTTGCGCTACGGGTGCGTGCGGCTGCAGTCGACGGGGACGGATACATATAACAATTCACATCACCTTTTGCTGCACAGGATTGTCCTCTTAATTATATCACAGTAAAACTAAATTGCTGGCTGTTGATATTTTTAATACTGAAAATATTTTTTTGTGGCGTTCTAGAGTAATAAGTTTAGATGATTTTGAGAACTACACAACGTTTCTCTTGTAAAATGTAACTTATTTTATACACATGGACAAACAACAATGTTTTCTCATGTGGGTTTAACACTTGATTATTTTTGTTCAATTTTAGTATTTCTTATTACTTTAATTTCAATTTTTCTATATTCATAATAGTAAATAAATTTAAAAAATATTTCATAATCTAAGTACATCTTAAAAATTAAGTATATTGTCATTTCATATAAATTGCTTTCGTGTTACTGCTATTTCATTAGGGAACTACGAGAGGACTTTGTTTATGAAGTTTGGGGTTCTAGATAATGTTTAGATTACACGAGTACCTATACACCAAGTGATAAACAATGCATGAATATTATCTAGCCCTTGTTGCCTCGCCCCCTATCTTGTATTTGACCGACACTGCCGTGTACCGTGCATTTATCTAATATATAAAAATCTCGTGTCACGGTGTTTGTGCTCGCACTCCTCCGAAACGGCTCGACCGTTTTTAATGATTTTTTTTGTATATTTTTTTTTGGTATATATGACAATAGGTCAGCAAGTATTTTTCTCCCTCCTACCCTCACCCCCCATTTTTTATAGCAATTTTGTATGAATAATCTATACATATAATAAAATTCTCACTGAGTAAATCTGTACATTAAATATTTTTTGGAAAATCTTATTGAAATAGACATTATTATCGATACAGAGGCCGAATCTATAGTTTTTAGAATTTTTGTCTGGACTACGAAACAAAGACGAAAGAAAAACTACTGGACGGATTTTGATGAAATTTGTTATGGTCATAGCTGATTATCCGGGTCAACATATAGAATACTTTTTACTGCAGAAAAATATCTTATTTCTGAGAAAAAATACAATAACTGGTTAGAATAAAAAAACGATGATACTATATACATTTTAGCAAATTAACTTACTAAATATGACTTGAACAAGTATATCAATAGCACTATTTTATTCATTAAAAAAGTTATTTTGATGAATATTTGTTTTTGTAATATTTAGATAAAATTTCAATAGAAGTCGCCATGTGTCTTTAAAATACGTAGTTTTAATTCCAAAAAAATTGAATGTTCAAATTAGACCTTTCTATGATTTTATTAGAATTACTACTAAATTACCCGCGGCCCCGCCCGTGTTAAAATTATCAAAAAACAATCTTTTTGACTTCAATTGCAAATTATCAAAAAACTATCTTGTTTCACATGATATTATAATACAAAGATATCACTCTCGCTTTGCTGGATTTCGTCAGACAGACCGACAAAAATTCTTAAAACTATAGGTTCGGCCTCTGTTAGCGATAATAAGGTGTATTTCAATAAGATTTTCCAAAAAATATTTAAAGCACAGATACGGCTTAGTTAGTTAGTTACATCTATATGTAACTAATTTATAAACACAAACTGTCAACCCTTCCCACATTTTATGACTCAAAATATTATAACCCAATACAATCCCCCGACGTTTAAACATAATTACCTATAAAACTACACGTATTAAACGTCAAAGTGCTTTAGAGAGGAAAACTAGTAAATTGAAGTAGAGCACTCTCGCCCCTCACTTCACCTCCCCCGCCCTCCCCTCACTCGCGAGGGCTGAGGGACTGATGTAACGTTTATGAATATTTGATTGAACGGTTTAAGGTATTACAGTTAATGGGCGGGGACACGCGACTCGAAACCAATCAATTTTCATGTGATTGAACGACACACGTTAACGCATCGTTGATATCAAATAGTCATTCGATTTCTTTCCCAATTATGAATAACCTATAGGTATCTATTGAATTGATAATATCAAATATTTGATAAATATTTGCATAAAATATTGAATTTGTAACTTTCCTATAACACTACATTTTCGAGGGTGAAACGAAATCAGACCCTTCCATTCCCATATTACCTTATTCAAATCTACCAACCCACTATTATTGAATCATATTCCTTTTTTTCAGCCTATGATGAAAAGAAAGGACCAAAGATATTCTTGATAAACAAGAAAATCGGTCTGTTGGCCAGAATTATTAAAACATACAACATATTATGTTTCATCTTAAAAAGCTAGTAACAATAACTATATTTGGCAAGAATTTCTTATTTGATCGTGGAAACAAGACGCTTGTTACATGTTACGTAAGCCGTGACGCGGCGGCAATATACCTGGGTACAGCATTACGTTGTATTACTGCTTTATTCGATTGCTCTGTTACAGACACTTTGTACTCTCCGCGTACAATCATGTAGGTATCTATAGCGGGTTCAGTTCCGGTCGGAGTGAATATTTTGCAGATTGGCACAAGTTAAGCCTTTGAATTGTAGCGAGGCATGTCAGTGTGTTTTCGATTGTGGCGCGATAAATAAGAAGGTCTTACATATTATTAAACGTATTAATTAATTAATAATATAATAGTATTTCCACTGCTTCCGATCACTTTTTAAGATTTAGGTACTTTAGTTCAGAAACTGTTGGTCAAATTCTCGTTTTATTTGTAAAGACGTTTTTTTTTCTAAAAACGTAATACAAGTATTTTTTAATCGATTATGCCAATATTATTCTATTATTTTTTTATATTATGAAAAATGCAATCTATACATTTTTGTTTGGTAACATGCACACAATTTTTATTTCATGACTACATATATTTAACAGTCAATAAAACTCATATTAAATATGAAATTATACCATATGTAAGTATAGGACAGAATTAAACACAGTCAAAGTAGTAGACTCAAATATATTTGCAATACCAAACCCATGACAACAGTTTTCGAAGTATTGCACGTCTGCCTACAAATCAAGAATTATTTCGCGGATTTCACTGACACTTTATTATTGTACAGGAAATGGCGAACATAGGTTATCTTTCTTCCTTTCGGTAAATCTAAAGATAACACTAGAGCTATCTATATAAGGTGCTGTTATAGAAAGTATAAGTCATGTTTAGTGGATTTGGAGTGGTGAAGTAGCACGTATTTGCTGGTACGTCATAGTTTATACTGATACTTTGTAGAATATGAACTAGCCGCCCGCGCCGCGCCGCTCTGATTTATTCAGTGTCAGTCGTCACCTCCCCACAGCGCCGCGGGTCCCCAGGTGCCCCGCGCCACCGCTCTCAACTGGATATAGTTTATACTCTGCACATCATTATTATTGCAATGAATAAATTTGCTTCAATTGCAATTTAACAATTCTAACTTGTTAGAATAGTAATATTTGTATTCTGGCACTTGAAGGACACAGTGAGCGCAGAATACTGTACTAAAGTTCCTAAAACTAGAGTTAGGTGCTATCTTTCTTTTCATACTTATAGCACTTTTCATTCACACATAAATTATAAATGAATTTGCGAAAATGAAGAAAAATCTGTAATTGGGTAAAACATAGTAGCTGAAATAATCCCTCAACAAAGCTTATGTAACAGTGAAGTGAATCCAACAATTTTCACCCACAATACACCTCGTAGTTACAATACACAAATGTAAAGTTGAATGGGGTTATTAGAGGCACAATCGTCGTGATTACTTCACCGGCCTCGAGGGCGGCTCCTTTGTGCCGCACAATGCACCGGCTTGTTGCTACGCGGCCGCCCGCCGAGCCGCCCGCTCCGAGCAGACCCACGGCGAGCTTACACTGTCACAGATAACACTTTCTACGCCGACCATTGGAAGGTGCGACGAAATTGAAATAACCATTGTGCTTGTTGCCTTTGTTAGGCGGACTTTGCCTTTTGAAACTTTAAAATATATTGAGATTTTATTGGACGTTAATTCATTAATTTTAACGATATTATATTGTTTATTTACTATATTTACTTATAGCATTTACTTCACTAGATACTATTATTTATGTATAAAAAAATGCACTAAATAATCTCCTTTGGAGTGAAAATAAGACGCAGTTTATTATTTTTTCTTCCTGGAAATTAACAATGCACTTTAGTCATAACACCGCTAGTAATATTCTGTATGATATTATTTGCAGATCTGATTTTGCTTAGATTTGGATCTAAAAAGCTTCAAATAACAATACTGTTATTCATTTTAAATATAATTTAAAAATAGACATAAATTTCTCATATGTAACAATTTAAAAATTTAAAATCGCTGCAATACTGAGTTACAATGTCGTTCCTCGCTGCACTCTGAGAAATAAAACTTCCATAAATCGAAGTGTTAGTCTGCTAAGCCTTCGGAAACGATGACAGAGCTCTGGAACACATCCACATGCGAAATTTGAAACCATTCAATTAAAATTAGGGGATGAAGAGGACAGTTGGCGCTGATCAAACACCAGCGATGTTTACTGGCGGACGGGTATTATTTAGACAAAGGGCTCAGGCATGCCTAGGTCCTACGGGAGAGAGTCGTGCGATAGTCCGCACTGCTGGCTTTCTATGCTAATTGCTTTGAGAACATTTGGTTCGGAAAATTTGACAACTGGCTCGTTAGTACTACATAGAGAGTGTGTAGTATATGCATATTGATTTAGTGCTAAACTCAACTCTTACAAAATAAAATATGTAATCAATCTTGTCACTTAGTGTAAATGAAAAAAGTGAAAGACAATAAGTAATGTATCTAGACTAAGTAATTAAGCTTCGCATACAATTTGGCGATACTAAATCTTACTCTAAGTTAAAGAAAACTAACATTTTGGCATTATTTCTCAACTACATTACTTGATCTATTTAAATTTTCATAATTACAACAAATTAGATTTAACTTTGTATTTATCATATAACAGTGTCTCCGTTAAATATGAACATTGAATGACTTTTATGAACTCTCCGACTAAACCAAAAGATTTATCATGTATCATAATATACAAATATTCACCGCTACAGCGAAGTACTCAAGTAATCTATTAAATATATCAATTGCGTGCATGACTTCACTTTCATACAACGTAAATCCTCTAAGCCCTTCACTCAAAATGCTTTAGTATCTGACTATCAACCTTATTTCTATGCAGTAAAAGTCAAATTCAAAAAATCTATACAGTATATGAGTAGCGCTGTTGTCGCAAAGTGTATCGTTTCAATGACTTTTAATAGTTACGGAGAAACGCGTATTGACAGACAATAGCTTTTTTTAAAATGAATATTTGATTGCGATTGAGAATCGTAATGACCTGATTGCAGCAACGCGGGCTTCATAAAAGGAATGTCGCTATTATATGAACATTGGCATATGTTTGGAAACTTTCCGTATATTGAATGTACTTGCTAGTTGTAGGGTATTTATTATATGTAAATAACAGGTATGTATGTAATCTAACTTATAAGGAGTCGTTCAAGATGGGCGTATATTCATAACATCCGTGATTCTTTAAATTGACAAAGCTTTCTCATTTATTAACCGATTGAAATAAAACTAATACTAAATGCTAAGTGAAGCTTACCACAATATATCAGTGAACTGCACTCAAATCGGTTAAGCCGTTTCTGATATTAGCGCGTACAACTGCACAGACAAACATACAATCTGAATCTGAATACAAATTCTAAAAATCATTGTCTTGGGCTCTATTGCGTTAATAAAAATCCCCAATAATTATATTATAATAGTTTTTCTCAAATATCTTCCAAGTACAGACAGCGATCAGATTAGTTTTAATATTATATATATATATATATATATATATATTTGTATATAATGTCCTCGTATGTACAAAAGACTACATGTTCCAAATTCACCTTAAAAGCAATTATTCCATTAATAATAATAAATCCATCCTTGGGGCGAAATATTTGTTCAAAAATAATATGAAATCACCCTTGGGTGCTATTAATAAAAAAATAATTCTTAATATAAAAAAATAAAAACACCCAGTGGAACTTATGAAAATCGAATCTAAAATCATTATAATTACGATTTTCTTATATAGTCCGAAAAATGTAAAGACAAAGGACATAATTTTTGTGTTTTACCTTGAACATTGTTTGTGACTAAGATAGATAACTTCGAAAAGCTCTTAAAGTATTGAAGCCTTAGAACTTAACTTGATTACTTAATTTATTGGGTAAGTTGACATTCTGCTATCGCTTAAAAACTAAAAGAAGAAATGACATTTTCACAATGATTAGAAGCTGTTGTTACGTTACACGAAGTAGTCAGAGTACATCATCCCTAAGCGAATCAATAACCAAAATTTGGGTCACACGAGGCGATTACGAGATGAATAACAAGAAAGAAGGTAACAAACAGTCTGTTTTGGAAACATCGCAGTAACAAGTTAATAGAGAGCTCACGCAACGGGGGCCGCCGCCCCGGAGCCGCCCGGAGCCGCCCGGAGCCGCCCAAAGACGCTCTCTGGTACTGGCTGCTCATTGTTTACGTTGTTTTATAGCCAATAACAAGTGTTTAATGTACTTTATTAGGTTGATTGTGTTTACGGAACTCATATATTTTACGAGTATTGTCGTGTCGAGTTTCACATGAAAATATTGAATCAAATCAAATTATTGGCATAACACAGCTGTGTGTGATTATTATTGTTAATAGATTTCATATGTTCACCGATTCATTGCCATTAGTACGCATGTAACGCTCTGGTTTTAGGTAATTACCTGTACATAATTTTCGCACATGAAATACATATGGATTTCTCGCAGTAAATTGAAATCAGTATTCATTGACATTATGTATACGTGATATATCCATACCAATAGTATAAATTAGAAGACATGTTCATTCGTTCAAAAAGATTGTATGTTTTTGAACCAGAAACTTTTGCAGGCGTATATAGAGTAACCCAACAGAGTTTCATCACTATCGCATCAATAGTTTAGGGACACATGGAGGACAGACAGAAAGAACTTTTTTTTTAACACGCAGCACCAACTTGTTCCATGGTAAGGTACGAGGCTTGTGTTATGGATACCAGATCACTTTACATATATAACCTCAAATATATACACATTATAAATATAAACAACGATCATTGGAGTACAAATATTCGTGCTCATCAAACTAATGAATGCTCCCAGCGGGACTTGAAGCCGTGACCGCTGGCATAGCAAGTATGTCACTACAAACTGAGCCATACGTGTCGTCAATATTCATTTTTATATAGAAAAATAGGTAATTGATTCGTATAATATATATACTACAGTAGATATTCATTTCCTTAAGCTCTGCAGCAGCCGAGCTACCCCTATACCCTTGCACTAAATAAACACACTCATCTCCATTACGTAGAGACAAACTGAAAATGAAACCTGCTAAGCGGCAGCGGCACGAGGCATAACTTTCAGTTGACATCATTAACTTTATGGCGGCCGTCTTCCGGACTACTTGCGGGACCCTAATTACCCGGCGCAGTAAGTCAAGTAGAAACACTAGCTCTCCCCGGGCACATACATGTACGTAATATGTTCAATTAACATTTCGACCTAAATTTATTTAATCTATACTGTATACATATAATAAATCACTAACTTAGCGAAATCGATGTGCGCGTTTCACGCAAAAAGTACTGAACCGATTTTAACTAAATTTTGTGTAGTGATAACTTATCATTTGGGTCAACATTTAGAATACCTTTTACTGTAGGAAAGTAATTAATTCCCACGGGACAATACAATAACTGGTTTTATCGAGTCGCTCTTAGAAATGTACATATCTAACGCCGGCTTATCCTTAAAAAGCACATGTAAACAATGAATAACAAAATTGTAGGTATTAATAAGCCCTATAGGAAATCTGTAATAGCAGAAGTCTCTCTCCTAAGGTACACTCGCAATAGCTATTCATATCTATTTAAAACGTACCTAGTGACGCACCCGAGTGAAGCGAGGGTAAGTCACTAGTTAAGTTAATATTTTTACTTCACAAACCCCTCGTTATTTAGTACTTAAAAAAGATACAGTCAGACTCACGTCATATACAAACTTTTTTGATGATTGTCTACACCGTACAGTGTAGGTATACGTAGGGACATATCTAATAGGAGTATCAAAAATTCAAAACTAATTTATATAAATCAAACGTTGTCATCTCTGTTAAACTTAACTTTAATTAATTTTATCCATCACTCGACTTCAATATCACAAAAACAATACTGAATAGAGGATAACTATTCCAGGCATTGTTCACGTTCCGAGCACGACAGAAGGCGCGGGAGTGCTTCATTAAACTGAAAAATAAAATACTTTATTTGAAAATCATTGGAATAAAATTAAAACAATGCATTCGTTTAGTTACAACATTTTCGAATAAAACTTTTTATTTTTTTCTCTCTCAAATTAATCGTAATATTCCTTGTTAAAAATGTACATATATACTCGTACATACAGTGATAAAAAAATCATCTTCATACATATTCATCTACAATTTGAATATTCAAAGTGTTTACATATGACTAAGTATGAGGAAGCCTCAAAAGTCAAAACAATTTAAGGCAACGCGACGTGACAGAGATGCTTGTGTCACTGTGAGGTCGGCGTCGTTAACTTTATTGCAACCCATCTCCGGAACTACGTCGCCGTTACCCCGATTACCCTCCCGATGCAATACGTCACATGTCACAGACCATTCGCAACAGAATAGAAGTGATGTGAAACGTCCAAGCTAATAATTTTGTGAAATAGAATATCTATTTATATTCTTAAAAATTATAATCGGTCTACTGTACTACGAAAATGTATAGCGTGTGTATATGTGAGTGTATGTTTGTTGCTCCCACACGCTAAAACAATTGGACGGATTTAAATGAAACTTAGTACACTGATAGGTTGACCTGGAGAAACAGGCTAATGTCTGGCGCAGGCTACGGACACACTCGAGAGTCGCCTGTAAAAAATATATAAAAATAACATATTCCGCCTACCTGATCCAGGTATTGCCAGCGTTTGCCTGTACAGCTAAGCTGAACAGGGTAGTCTGAAATCTCTCAAGGGAAAAATCTCTATAACCGATAAACTATAGTTAAGTAAAATAAACTGTTTTAGAACAAACTTGTCAGTAGTCATTTATATAATGATATTATATTTCTGACTAGAATGATAAAGCTGCGAAAAGGTAAAATGCTATGTAAATATGTTAACGGTAGATTAACTATGTAAATAACATTAAATAATGTTTATAAAATCCCTTTCAAATGCTAATAGGTATTTAAAAATACAACATTAGTAACGTCATTTCTAAAATATACCTCATTCAGGTTCCCGGCCGCTTCGTACAAATAAATAGAGCCAATATCATGGCAACGTCGCTAAGCGGCCGCGTTAATAATTCATGAGGCGTTCACATTTCAATTTTACTCCGCTCCTCGCTCGCGCTCTCCGTCCCTCTCGTCCCTCTCGTCCCTCTCGCCCCTCTCGCCCCTCTCGCCCCGCGACTCGCTGCATGCTGCAAGTCCTGCTCTTTACCGTCGATGCATATGAAGCACTTTAAGGACCAATATGATGTACACACATTATTCAACAGGTACTCTAAAAGTATTCAGGGAATGGGGCTCGACCAAACGTTTGGCAAAAGAAGTCTCACCTTTAATTTCACATGAAAATAAGTCTAGTCGCCCTAGTCTAGTCTACTGTGGCCTGTAGGCACACTTCAAATAATTTCTAAACCTGTTTAAGAACCAACTATTCCAATATATGTACTACTAGCGACTCACCCTCGCTCCGCTCGGGTTCGTCCCTAACTTGATTCCCCATACAAAATTTCATCCCCATTTTCAACCCCTTAATGGATGATTTCCGGGATGGCAAGTATATTCTTTCCAGGGTCGCTAACTATCTTCATACCAAATTTCATCTAAATCGGTTCAGAAGATCCAGATATTACTCCCTACAATATCAGAAACTCACAAACTCACAATCTCACAAATTCACATACTCACAAACTTTACCTCTTTATAATATTATAGTATAGATTTATTTGTTTAATATAATTTATTATTATTTAAAGTGTATTCTACGAACACCCGATAATTACGTATATTCCGTAACGTACGAACAAATGGTAGCGTATGTCATCTTCAGCCCATAAAGCCGTTAAGTTAGTTCTAGATAAACTCCAAGAAATCCCATCGATCCATTATGAAGAGAGAGATGAGTAAGAACAGGAAATCATCAATCAATCTCTGATTTTCTTAGACAATATGTACTTAGGTATAGCGTGAAATATTTTAAGTCTGTCATTTCATATACTAAAACATATGTTTTCCTCTTCAGATTGTTTCTTTATTAGGACGAGACTTAGGGCATAAACCCGCTTCACTTGGTTTCAAAAGCCAATAAGTTACTACTTGGCTTGACAGATAACTTGAAGCAGGAACTTGAACTCAGAATACCGACTCCGCACCCGTACATATCATAATATACATATATCATAATTAAGATATTTACTTAAAATCTTTATAACGGAATCTGTTTCTAAGAAATTGTAAGAGTTGAGTTGTTGGAATTAGTCATGTTATTTTGAAAGCGAAAGCAAGTTGGAGTAATTAAGTATTCACAGAACTGTGTACGGATAAAGGGGACTTCTTTGAAACGCTCAAATAGAAGAAAAGCAGCTGTTACTAACGAGAGGCATCTATATAAATTTTTGATGCGCGTATTATAATCGTCTTGAATATTTCTAAGTGAAGCCTTTCATTACTTATTTTTTTACATTAAAAATATTTTAATTGATATTGGTAGCGCAGACTATATGGAAAAAAATATTTTTATTTTTAATATTTTCAACATATTGTTCTCATAATACTTTCTTAGATTTACGCGAATATTTGACAATTTAAATAAAACTATCTTTTCGGATTTTTTCGCGGATTTATTTGGATTTTTGGTTCCCGACGTTTCGAATGCTTTACAGCAATCATGGTCACGGGAGAGATTGAGTGTTAGATGTCTCGAAGGTATAGTTGTTACAGACAGATTTATGGGTACAAATAACAAAATGAAAATTGCACCAATTACCTTACAATATTTTTAAATTTAAATTTTTTTTATAATTTTAATTAGTTTTATAATTGAATATGGAATATTATTTATTTAATTTTTGCTGTTATTATTATAATTATTACAATTTTAAAATATTAATTAGTAATCTATATTTAGTGTTGCCATTATTATATTTATGACCATAAAGAAAAATATTAAATATTGTATTAATTGTTTAAGCCATATAATTGTTCTATGTGTAATTTAAAAAAGTTAAAATTAATTAAGGATAATAATTTTAATTTATTTTACTATTATTTAAAAAGACAAATTACTAAGCAACACTATTACTATTTAAACTTTTACAAATGAAAAATGAAAAATATTAATCTGATATGCTCTTATTTTTATCCACACAGTAAGAACTTACTACATCTACCTGTCTGTTATGTTTAGTTTTATTATTTGATTTTATTATAATATATAATATGTAACAGGAAAAAAATTATAAAAAATCCGAAAAGATAGTTTTATTTAAAATGTCAAATATTCGCGTAAATCTAAGAAAGTATCACTAGTACATTTTAAAATATTATAATATGTATCTATCTACAAATGAGGAATCAACTACAAACATAAATATTTATTTTATATAAAAACTCTTCCATAATGATTACTGGGACGAACGCTGAGCGACGCGAGAATTTGTGTTAAAAAATAAATTATAAAGAAATGCTAAGTGCCATACTCGTATACCAATTTGTCATCATTTTAAATTAATTATAAAATTCACACAATAAACGTTTCATATTGCACAAACCGCAGCGAACTGATCGCCGGCGAGTATCAGTGAACCTACCGACAGCCGACTTCGCTCGCGACCCACGCGAAATACACACCTTGTTATTCACATATAAAGCTTATATTTGCATAGCCATCAACTTAATTATGTATACGTTGCAAAACCCCCAGCTCGTGTTACCTAGGAGATAAGGTCGACAATGGTGAGACAAAGTCAGGTCTACACGCATGAGGCACAGATTAAGCGAAGTCAGTGAACTCATAATACGCAAGTGGCTTCGTGACATACGTTATGTATTATGCATGTACTCGCACTGTAATGCGTAATGATCGAACATAATGCAACATTGTATACTGGCTTCAGCGTCTGTCTATAAAGAGCTATTATAGTACTACAATGTTAAAGGCTATTATACTTATTGTTACACGCTGCCATTATATTAGGTATGTGTACATAGAAATGAAGAGAACTTACCGACTTATCACTTCGTTAGTCGTTACTTCCGGCTAAATATAAGTTATGTATCTCATTCACGTTCTTTTAATAGACAAAAGCAGTAGAAACTAAACATTCACTAAATCTGCGAACAAAGTTAGCTTAGTTTTTATGTTTATATCTGACAGATATTATTTCTTAAGTATACGCAAAATCTAGACTTAGGCATGACTTCAAACGTTTTATCAAAATATTTCTAATAATATAGATACTTTTTGAAGAAAATTTTAATCTTAAAAGTGTGAACAAAATTACCTGTAAACTTTCCTGGGCCATGAACACTTAAGAGTGCGCCATGAGACTGCTACGATTTGGATTCGGAGGATTGTGATGACAAGAATGTTCTATCGTGGAACTATCGTATCGTGAAACTGATTAAAATTATAAATATGTTTAAAGTTAAAAAAATATTGTAAGGTACTTTGGCGCATTTTTTAATTTTTTGAATTCATTTTGTTATTTGTGGGTAGGCTGTCTGTAACAACTATTATATTACCTTTAAGACATCTAACACCTTAGTCTCTCCCGTGACCATGATTGCTGTAAAGCATTCGAAACGTCGGAAACCAAAAATCAAAATAAATCCGCGAAAGAATCCGAAAAGATAGTTTTATTTAATATATCATTTATTTTTTTTTGATTTATGAACATATTTATTAATTTTTGGTTCCAAATTCGTATGATAAGTTATATTCTATTTACGAGTAACGTAACTGTCACACCTATTATTCAAACTTCTCTTTTGTGATTGTTATCTTGGAAAATAAAGGCTTATTACTTTTATAATTTAAATAAATATTGTAATTTCAGACCATCAGCAAGCTGACAGTTGCTGCAACGGTCATTCCGAACATATAATTTGACACTATTAATTAACAGAGACCATATTCACAGATTAAGTTCGTCCTCCTCCATTCAGAGTGACGTACTGCTTGGCGCGCCGTTGCAAAGATTTATATTCTACTAGCATTGCCCGCGGCTCCGCACGCGTTCAGATGACCGGAAAGCAAATTCTCAGGTTTTGCATATTAGTGTACTCTTACAATGCAGTTTTTGTGTTTTTTCTCAGAAATGAGATATTTTCCGCGGTAAAAAGTATCCTATATGTTGACCCGGATAACCAGCTATCATCATACCAAATTTCATCAAAATTTGTCCAGTGGTTTTCTCGTGATGCGGTAACAGACAGACAGACAAAAATTCTAAAACTATAGATTCGGCCTCTGTATCGATAATATTGTCTATTACAATAAGATTTTCCAAAAATATATTTAATGTACAGATTCGGCTTAGTTACAATTTTATTATATGTATAGATTTTCGGATACGTATTATGTTCTAACAGTATGGGTACCTATATCTCCTTAATTACCACAGAATATATAAGTCAAACATATAAGAAATAGTGTCAATTGTGTCAGTATTGTTACAGTGAGCACATTTAACGCACTCGCTACCGCGGTAGGGTCTGGGTGCGGCGAGTATCAGCGAGCATCGTTAACGGAAGGTCGAGGGCCTCGCGCCATCAACACCAGAGCTTTGCAACCAATGTGCTGTTTAAAGCGTACTCATTACGATCTCTATCGTTACGATGCCTCAGTTTTAGCCTACTTCTTACACATTTTTATAGGGTATTTTGAAATTAGTGTAAACTCTTTGCAACAGACATTACCACGTGAACAGAAGTGATATACCGAGACAAAAATATTTAAAAAGTAAGCTGTATCACTTTCTGACCCGAAAATATCTTAGTAAAAAAATTACGTGGACCTATTACTGCGTAATATAAAGTAAGTAATGAAGACAAATCAACAAATCGACAATCAAATTTTAACATTTTTATATACATATATTGATTTAGAAAAAGAAATGAAATAAAAATTACTAATTAGTTTTATTCGACCAGACTATAAATACTTTTGAATTGTTAATTAAAATGAAAGAAAGTCAGTAATTGTAGGACCGTCAAAAAGTTCGGAAGAACCAGAGGCTCGGAAAGCAGTTCTATTGAATGGCGCCCAGACACAATGCCGAGTTGCAGTATTTAATATATAATATTAAGTCAGTGGTAGCTCAGTACTAACGCGCTCGCTTGTGAAGCCGAGTGCAGCGGGTTCAAATTTCGGTCTCGCGCCTCTGCTCTAATATTCATATGCGAATCATTTCCAACATGATACCGCTTTTGCTGCAGTGAAGCAAAACATCGTAAGGAAACCTACATGTCTGGGAGAACCTAGCAATTTTTCGAAAGACATGTAAACTCTGCGAACCCGCATTTGGCCAGCGTAATGGACTATGTCCTGATCCCCCTCCTTGTAAAGCGAGGCCCGTGCGTGCCCAGCAATAGGACGTTAAAAAGTGCTGCATACATGCATACAAATAAATATATCTAATTTGTTAAGTACAAAAATATAATTTGAATTGAAATAAAAACACTAAGTAAACCCAGTGCTGCCAGCGAAGTGAAAACTGAAACTATAAACTAATCCTAAGGCTTCTATCAACAACATGCACAACGGTTTGCGAACAGTTATTTGCGATCGACAAGGAAATGTTTGAGGCGCGGAACACTACAGTAATTTATTTTCAGCCGTGTTAGGTTTCTCTGCGGTGAAAGCTAGCGTATGCTAATGCTATGATCGCAGCTAAATATGGTGCGTTATGGCGTCGACGGACGTACAAGGAATACAATTTATAGCAACATCGGCCTGTGGCCTTGTACCTCGAACTAGTGCTTTGTGTACGTACCACTTCCGGCGCTCTATTGTTCACGGTACAATTAAGCTACAGTCTAACGTATGATGTACGTACTATAAATAGATTTTTTTCTTTAGAAATGGCTAAAAATATTCCACAACTACGTTTAATGCACGCTAGCCATTTAGTGTGACGGCAGTCGGCAGGGCAAGTGATTTAATTTAATTTACATTGAATACCTAATTAATCTAAATACAATAATAAACTTATTTATTTGTTACCTTTTAACGTGTCAACCGCTTCCAACTCTAATGATATATAACATCCCCCTGGTATAATGGAACCGACGATGAATAGTTGATATAGATACTCTATACCGCTACCTGATGGACGAGATATAGATTCGCCTCTTGCACCTGAAGGTAGCGATGACGAGTCACAATATTACTCATAGTATTATTTATAATAATAATATAAATACACGGGAGTCTAAACGTAGTACTTTCAAATAGCACGAACAGATAATCCCTAGGTACCTATAATATTAAAATGCACGCTGGCACCCCGAGCGGCAAGATGGCGCCGCGCAGTCTGCTGCGGCGAGAGACTCGCATTGTGATATTCAAATTGGCCGAGCACACCGCCCATGCAAATTGCAGCGATGCACGACGTTCGACATTCACAATACCTGCCTTACATTTATACATACAACGCATAAAAGGCTTCTTCATCACTACCACTACATATGTGTGTATGTGAGAGCGTTATTAGCTTGTCTGTGTGTTCAAGGCATATTTAGGGAGAAGTAAATAAAGGTAATGTCATTCGGGGAGTGTTATTGAGTTCTAGAGTCCCATCCGTGCTTCGTTATTTGTAACTAGCGACTTATCCTGGCTTTGCTCGGGTGCGTCTCTTGGTACAAATAATTACGTAATACATTGTTTTCATACAACTCTATTATTGGTTTACGCGGCGCAGTAAAGCTCCCAGTCGGCATGTTTTTTTCTTGACATCTACTACAATCTTCGTCATGTTTCAGCCAATGAATCACTCCATGAAAAACCGTATGATTGTTGATTGTTTTTGAGTTCATGGCGTTCAGACAGACAGACTGACAGAAAGACGCGGTGACGAGATTTTGATTTATGATATGTAGTGATTAACGAAAGCTACTACTATGATCCGTAAACAGAAGTGGCGTACTATAGGAGAGGTCTGCGTCCAGCAGTGGACGAAAGCAGGCTTATTATGACGATGATCATCCGAAAACGCTAGAACATTAATGAACGCCAATAGATGAAGTTTACAATACAAATAATTTTATTATATTCAGGTCTTAGTCAAATGAGATTATTATTTTATTTGGTTGATTGATTGGAAGTATTACTTTAGAATTATACCTAAACAAAGAATTGTGTCTGTCATGTGGAGTATGGAGCTCAAAATTCATTCTATTAATTAATCTGTACTAATATTATATAGAGGTAAAGTTTGTGAGTTTATGACGTTGTAGGGGGTAATCTCTGAATCTACTAAACCGATTTATATAAAATTTGGTAAAAAGATAGTTTGAGACCCTGGGAAGGACATAGGATACTTTTTATTCCGGAAATCATCGCTTAAGGGGGTGAAAATGGGAATCAAAGTTTATATTGGGAAGCAAGCTAGGGACGAACACGAGCGAAGCGAGGGTGAGTCGTTAGTAATATATTTCTTTTTTAAATGTGTGATTTGTTGAGAAACAGCCCTCTGACAGACGGACGGACGGACAGAGGAGGCATAGTACCTAATTGGATTCCGTTGGCACCTTTCGGGTACAGAACCCTAATATGACTTAAATTGCTTATCTTGGTTCAAGACATAAGCTTTGTTTAATTTGAAATTCACTCGATAACGAAAAAAAACTTCTTTCACTTATACATAATACAGATACATATAGGTACACTGTATTACTAACTCAATCACTGAACAAATATCTGCAACTATAATAAAAAAATTGTATGATGCTGAAGAGAATATAGAACATTTCGGATTTGAAAACAGGCACGGAAAGTAAAGCCAAGCTGAAACACGTGTAAATCCGGTCGGCGATAAAAGGGGTGAACAAGCAGATACGTTGTAGTAGTCTCTAAGTGTCCATATCATATATGGCGACGATTAGTTTTAACGACGTACTTGCAAGTCGACAGTGGGACGGTAAAGATTAAAGTGGGTGCTCATCTAGCTTCCATATATGGACTAATCGTCAGCAGCACTACGAGAGCCAGTGTAAAAACAAAGCTCTGACCAATATTCCTTCTAAAGTAATATGACTCTACAAAGGCATAACGGGTAACATTAAGTTCAAAAGTAACGGGCTTTCTGTCATTCGTACAATTACTGTTTAAGCTTTAAATAATTGTTTTTTTACCGACAGAAAAAACGAGGAGGCTCTCAATTCGACATTCATATATTTTTGTAATGTTTGACCAAGCATTACTTTTTACAGTGTAGTCGGATTTCGATGATCCTTTTTTTATTGGATGGGGTACGTACTGTGTATGATGTTGATATTTCTGCCTTATTTCAGATGCAATTTAAATTTAGTGGCGAAACGCACAAAATTACCACAAGTGTGAAGGTTAGTAAACTCTGCTGTAATGAAAATGCAATCCATAATTAATTTTTTTATTGTTTTTTCTTCTTAATTTTCATATAATATATAGTATCCATAGAAATTATTTTTTATAATAGTATATAATAGTTTATAATAGTATTGTATAATATAATTATTTTTAATGAAGGCACTCCTCTCCGTAATAGAGGTTTTCCTATTCCAGAGTAGTAAGCCATATCTACTGTTTAACTGCCAAATATACCACCTAATGTTTGTAATAATTTGTTATAAGTATAATTAGACGTCACCAGAAAATATTTTAAAAACCATCTGTCACTATTACTTATACATATATATATATATATATATATATATATATATATATATAGGCAGTAGTTATATATATATATATATATATATATATATATATAGCCCAGTGGTAACGCGCTCGCTTAGGAAACCGAATGAAGTGAGTTCAAATCCCGGGTCTCGCACCTCTGATATTTTCATGTGCGAATCATTTCCAACATGATTACCACTTGTCTTAACAGTGAAGGAAAACATCGTGAGGAAACCTGCATGTCTGAGAGAACCTAGCAAGTTTTCAAAAGACATGTGAAGTCCGCCAACCCGCACTTGGCCAGCGTGGTGGACTATGGCCTGATTCTCCTCGTGCTGAAGGGAGGCCCGAGCCCAGCAGTGGGACATTAAAAAGGGCTGAATACTATTACTTATACAGTTAACTGTAATAATATTATACAATACATGCGAAAGTTATCTTATTGATACCTTAATTGGTCATTTTTGCGCAGAATCTTGTACTTAGATATCATATTGTACGTAATGTAATGTAAATGTAAATTTTCGCATATTTAGCCCACATTAAGCGTGAAACCATCATAACAATAAGTGTGAAATTTCCACATAATAAAATGAAGATAATATTTTGAAGCAGTAAACATTAACAACGACTCGAATTGGCTTCAGCGTTACCAGGAAGTGCTCGCCGCAGCTGCAATATCGATTGAGCGCGATCGTGCGCCGCAACACATCAACTTTTACGACGCGCCGACACCTACCAACTACACATATACCTGGATTGTATAAATCTGTACTTATAAATAAAGTAGCAGTAAGTATCTGCATGTGAAGTCAAAAGAGCTACTCAATAGCTATGCTTAAACAATTTTTTTCTCGAAAGAGAAACTGATCATATGTAGCATTCATTGATGGATAGGTTTCAGGTGATGAAGTTTTTTTTCTAAAGTAGAGCATGTTTCATGCGATGTTAAAGATTAAAATAAAACAAATTTTTATCTGTGAAAGGAGAGGGTATATAAGAAAAAAATATGTTGGCACCGTGGCAGGAGAGAAACAAAACAAAGAAGGTTTGCTAGTATTTATCACTTTATAATATACAGTATTCAGATTCTAGTTTAATTTCTCATTCGGTGCAAATTTATTTATATTAAAACCAGTGATTTTTAAATAATAAAATCAATTTTAAAAATAATTGTTGAACCTGATTAAATTATCATAACACGAAATACAGCAAGAACGTAGAGCCAGCTCTGCAACGTTTACTATATTATATTACATTGCTGCGAACATCGACTCTACCGTATATTTAGAGGCTGTTAACTCAAATTGGAAATAGAGCTATTTTGGGCGAAATCATTCCAGCTTCGTGTTTACACCATTTAATGGTTATGATTCCGGTTACGGGAAATGAAGATATTAAATAAATTGACGCGTTGACAGGAAGCCATTAATAAATTATTATGTACAGTGTAATGTTTGGGTCGGTGTGGCGCTGCTGCGTAATGGACCTACTGTTAACGGCTTGATTGCACACTACACTGTGGGTAATGGCACAAAATTGACGTTGTCACAACTCCCAACTCCCACTCGTGTTACCGCTCTTGAATATTCCCATGGATAGCTTGTAAACTATATATCTCTTTTTATATATTCATTAGTCTCGAAATATTTTAAAATTATTTAATATTATGTTTTATAACTTATAAGTTGGCCCATTGTTGACATATTCAATTAGTAAGACAAGTGAAGCGGGTCCTATCCCAGATCTCACACCTCTGAGATTTGTGTGGAAATCCATTTATTTTATGATTACCACTTGCTAATTCGGTAAACCTAACTAGAATTCGTAATCTGTAAATGTGTGGACTATGTGGATTGAAATAACTATCATTGCTACGTGCGCTATGATTATTAAAGAATAAGCACATCAAAGCACATATAATTCAGACAATGACTGTTCATGGTAAGTTTAGAAACTATATAAGTATGTAAGTAAGCGACCGAGCGTGCGGCGAGCGCGCAATCTATCATCAGTATAATGCGCACTTCCGACAGTTTTCCAGCGGAAAGTATATGTATGTTCCTGTACTACTCCCAGCCCTGCCGCACTTCCGCCCTGCCGCCCTACCACGTCGCGTCGTGCACTACCGGTTTGCTGGCTAGCTCTGCAAACTAACCTTACACAAATACCCTACTACGTTTCTAAGTATACTGTGACAATTTGAGTATACCCCGGATCTTTTCTTTATTCCAAATCAACAAGTACTTTCTTAGTTAAGTTATTACTTAAATGTAATATTTTCAATTTCTAACTGTTAAGTAATAATTATACGTCATTTAAAAGTAACCGAAGTAAACAATTCATTAAATGTCAACAACAAATATTTTAAATGGTAATCGAATCTGCGACCTTCTGCTTAGAAATTCGTAGACATATTTCATTATGACTGTCCTGGGCTAGACGTATAAAAGTTAAGCCAGGCAATAAATAATGAAACTGCACAGCGAGAACTGATCACACATCGAACATCCATCTAATACGCTCTCTGAACTTGGCAGCCGAGTGAGATATATGTTTTGTTCTTTCACCTAAATACGCCCTTCACAAGATTTATTATGTAGGAAATCAATTCATTTTCAAAGTGCAGTTAGCAACAATTGTTTCTGCTTATAGCTGGATTTATGTCGACTCTCCCGCCACTCCTTTACCCTCCCAATACCTCTCCCGGCG